AGGGGGAAATGAGGGGGACAACTCGTACTCACGACTTCCAGTTAAGGTCTAATCCGGGTCCTTCAGCGACTCCAGCGATTGAGCCTTCGTTTCTCCTTCCAGACTCCAGGGGCACGGTATTTAGAATCGGGATGAGCTCGGGCACCAAAAATCCTCTTTACTCGAACACAAAATCCAATATACGGATTCTTCGGGGTATTTGCACTGTTTCTTCAACTCTTGGGGCGCACGTGGCAGGGTCTAAGACAGCGGTTACACGAGTGACGGTCTTTCCTTTTCCTCCGCGATTCGTGGGGGTTCGTCAGGTGTCGAAGTCCTTTGGGTTTTAATTCAGGAGCAATCGGGGCCAATCAGCACGGGTGAGTGGTGACGATGACCACAATCCAGGGATGTCTCGCAAGGGATTATTGCAGGTGTTGAATATTCGGGGGTCCAGTATGGGGAATTTCCAGGGGGCGATGGCTTCTCCAATTGATCGGGTGGGGCCGGAACTGATGTCTTCCTTCGGCTAATGTCTTCGTGATGTCCATGAGCAGGGGTAGAGGGGCGATGAGGGGAAAAGTCTGGGGAAGGGGTATCNCGGCAGTGTGTAGTAGGAAAAAATATGTAGAAAAGTAATAAAAAATAAATGAATATACCTCGTCACAAACGGAATAACTCTTTGAATGGAAATTTCCAGAAAAAAGAGGAAGTATGCCTCAATATCCAAAGATCAGAATCATTGAGTTCACTTTTCAATTTTTTTTCCTAAGAAAGACTGGCGATCCCATGATGCCCTCTTCACTGAAAGATAAGTGTAATAATACAAGTATCCTTGAATTTTTTTTATCAAAATCAACCCGGCCCGAAGGTTCAAAATCACGCTTTCACACTGTTTTTTCTAGTTTTTTCGCATTTTTTGGGCTTATTTCTATTCGAAAAAATTTGCAAATATTTTTACTGGAAAGCTGAGGAAAAATAGATTTTTTATGTATTTTTAAAATTATTTTCCCCCCACCAGTAAGTTGAGAGTGAATAAAATCGATAAGTCGTTCACCTGTCTCGTACCTAGACTCCTATTATTATTAAAAATATGAAAAAAATCTTTAAAATCCCCAAAAATATATAGGAACCGAGAAAAAACCACCTTAAATGAATTTGCAGACATGATGAAAATAGGTGGCCCACTTGACGAAGAATCATTCATTGATCGTTCCACAACAGTAAAGTTTGAGTTGATATATTGAATAAATTTTGTGCGCGCATTACATGTTTTTTCATTTTTCCCCGGAATTGGACGTACAAAATTATTAGACCAAAAAAAAATTGGAACAAATGATTTGCGGGAGCAGGGAGCAGCGGGGGGGGGGGTTGGCGAGCGAAGCCCCCTAGTATTAAATCATTAAATTGCGACTTTGGGATTTTTCCCTTAAATATTGGTTAACATAAAATGTCAATTTTTCACAATAATTTATTCACAACGTTTAATTCCAAGTATTTTTGCACTGTCAATTTCTTTTCTTATAAAAAAATTATATTATTGAGTGTTAAAGTAACCCTTATATCTGACTAAACTATTTCCCACGGTCCCCGTGTAATATGTGAATGGGCTCTCCCCACTCCAGTGCCGAGAAGGCAAGTAAAAGTTTTAATCAGGTTAGAGTGTTAAGCACAACTGAACATTAACAAAATTCACAAAAATATTCTTTTATCGAATGCAACCTATGAATATAACGTATATTTAGGGGAGAGTGGGGCAACGTGAAACAGTCGAAAAATGACTGTTTGACGCAATTCAAGCCAAAAAATTTTTTTTTCGTCAACTTTTTTTTATTATTGGGAGTACTGATGGGAATAATAATTTTCTATTCGTCTTATAATTCAATTGATTAAATTAGGCCGATTCTACTTTTCTTTTTTCATTCGATTGAAATTCAGCATTACATTTTCCGTTTTTCCCCACTGAGTTTCCCACTGGGTCTTCCTCTGGACTTTGGATTTTGCTATTTCATTTTGTTTTCAATTAAGCCATTGACAAAATTTTCTTCCGTCAAAACTTCTCAATAACTTTTCATTCTACTGGATGAAAAATTATTATTCTCATTAGTACTCTCAAGAATAAAAAAAAGTTAATAAAAAAAATATTTAACAAAAAAAAATTTTTTTACTTGAGTTGCGTTAAATATTTATGTTTCGACTGTTTCATTGTACCCCCCTCTTTCCTATCTATAAAATTGGTACTAAGTACTGGAAGATATTTTCTGATAAAAAAAAATTGAGTTCTTTCTCCTAATTATTGTTGATGTTACCAATTTCGAGAGTAGTTATTACTTTTTTGGTCCACTATAACACGAATCAATAATTCTAACGACTCAGCAATACCTCGGAATTTATCTACGCGGTAAGGTATTGCTATCGAATTCGATATCTAAGGGTTCTTCAACGTTTTCTTCAGAGATATCCTCGTATTCCGAGTTTGTGGGGTTGATAGTTGGCAAGGGATCGAGGGAGGCTTCTAATTCCGTAAGCCTCTCGATGCGCTGGTCCTCCTCTTTGTAAACAGGTGAATAAATCAATTTTTGTTTGATTAGGGAATCTGTTGTGTTCGGTTTCGTAGTTGTCTTCTCTTGAATTCCTGGGAACAAAATGGATTTTTTCCTATTAATTCGGGGTCAGTAGAACAGAATTCGACAATTTTTATTTGCATGAAAATTTTTTAAGCTTGAAAATCAACATTAACCCTAGTTTGGTCACCATATGAGAACTTGCGATTTTGGTCACCTCCGCAGGGAATCGCCGCCGTGTTATTTAGGCCCGAGCGTTGCCGAATTCACTCTATACTGCCCGGGCGCGTTTAGCGAGACTTCGGCAATGTTGCACAACGGGCAATTTCATTTAGCATGGGAAAAAATTGCCCGTCTGTTAGAAATAATTTTTTTTCTTCAGGAATTGTGGATATAAATAATTTAAAAAAATATAATTTTCTAGACACTTGAATTGACGCATTCTAATTTTTTAGGATTTTTCCGCTCAGCCAGTCAATGGTAAGAAAAAAAAATCGACCTTCTGCGGCGTTTCCCTCCTATGGTCACCAAACTAGAGTTAACTCATGTAACTAGGGATGCAACGGACAATGCTGACCGGTCAATTTACCGTCATTTAACAAATAAATTACACGTTACTGACTGAAGACCAATTACTGATCATTTTTGGTCAGAAAAAACGTAACGAAATTTCGCGCTACAAAAATGACCAAAAAAAATCTTGACGGTCATTTTACATCTAGATAGAGCGCAACAGATATCGTTCATCATGTTACCGTTTTACTTTGAAATTCAACTCCTGGGCTGAGCCTTGGACCTTAGAGCTCTCCAAGTTTTAGCAAGAGATAGCTTGCTTTAGTCTCCGTATATTTGAGAGAATTCTTTAATTAGTTCTTAAATGAGAAGATTTCCGACATCATTGATCCAATGAAAAATTTTATACGACTGTTTTTCTATAATTGAGCTTTATGGGTTCTATGATAATAATAAATAAACAAAAAGCTACGAAACTTTTCAGATTTTTTTCAATTCCATACTAAGGTAATATTCTCTAAATTTTTTATTTCCGGTTTGGTATTATTCATAATTTCATTCAAATTTCTTTTAAAAAAACATGAAGAAAATGAAAAAAAAAAATAATGGAGCATAAAAATGACGGTCAGATTACATTTAGATAGACGATTTTTCAGCATAAAAGACAAAGAGAAAAAATGACTGACAATTGGGTAAGTTGACCGGTCAGTTTGAATCACGAGGTATGGGTCAATCCAAAAATGGTCCCTACATGTAACCCTCTTCTGTGAAAGCCAGAAAAAGTCTCTATTTAACGCGTCAGTAGGCGCGCGGTTCCACCAGCATCCTTGAAACGCGCGTTGAGAGAACCTCTCATCGGCTTTTCGTAAGAATAGAGCCAAATATCGCCACAGGTGGTGGTGTTTGGGGTTCAGCAAGGCGGGCCCCACACCCGTAACACGTGGAAAATTTCGGCCAAACCGAAGAAACTGTTTTTTTCCTACTCAATCCTGAACGATAGACGACTTTTATCACTACGAGAATAAGCTTGAAGAGTTACCTGAGGCATTTAAAAAATGATAGCCAAATAGTTGCACTTTTACGGTATATTTCCTATGGAGTGGAAACTATTTTTTTCCTACTTAATCCTGAACGATAGACAACTTTTATCACTACCAGAATAAGCTTGAAGAGTTACCTGAGACATTTAAAAAATGATAGCCAAATAGTTGCACTTTTACGGTATATTTCCTATGGAGTGGAAACTATTTTTTTCCTACTTAATCCTGAACGATAGACAACTTTTATCACTACCAGAATAAGCTTGAAGAGTTACCTGAGACATTTAAAAAATGATAGCCAAATAGTTGCACTTTTACGGTATATTTCCTATGGAGTGGAAAATTCAATGAGAGAAAGTCTCATAGCGCGCCATAGCGAAGTGGTGAAAACGCCCGCACGAAAGAGGGTTAAATGACACGACTGATTCGAGAAATATTGACGATTCATGAAAACCCATTTTATTTCATTTTTAAAAATAAATCATTTTAAATTGGCAATATCTCAAAATTGACATAATATAATTCACCAATTTTTTTTCATATTGAAGATAATTCAGTAGCGAAGCGGTAAACCGGGTTAAGTCGATTTTGACTATTGGCCAGTTTTTGGCGAATATCTCGGAATGTAAAAGAGATAGAAAAATTTTTGTCATGACCTTTTTTGTAGAGCCAATTGAGGGATATAAAAAAGAATCGAGGGTTCGGAATCTAAGAGAGATATCCATGAAAAACTGACCAAAAGTCAAAATCGACTTAATCCGGTTTCCCGCTTCGCTACTGAAATTTTCAAGCTGAAAAATAATATTTAATTTATTTGAATCGCATCATCCGATCGGGAGATTTTGATGATGTAGGAACATTGATGTTACTTAATCTTGCTTTTTATCAACTTTGAAATACGAAAAATCATGAGGAAATTCTGTTAATTTCTCTATAAAATCCTGAGCTTGCCCCTAATTACCAATGACATCCGCAAGCTCCACCCCAGCTGGTAACGTCGGGTTAACACACTCAACTTTCGCCGTGAGATTGTGCTTTGCACCAGCCCTGATAGCGAACCTCGAATGATCCTTAGGATCCCAGATGAACATATAATACAACGACAATATGATCGCGGCAAGACTCACAGATATTACATACGCAACAACCGTCATAACCCGGAAGGCCTTCTGCCGATGTTTGGGCTCGTACAACTTATCCTTACTCTCTTCACCCGCGAATTTAACTTCGTTGGAAGCTTTCACATTTGAGTCGTGCCGAGTCCCTAGTGTCCGACTTATACTCGCCATAACGTTCTGCGCACTCATTTTCCTCGGTATTTGCATAATTAATTAATTGACACAATTAATTATAACATTTATATGATTTTCGGGGCCTTTGGAATTTAATATTCATTCTGGGCTACACCCACGGGTCACGCCAGTCCTTTTCCGACATTGTTCTATTTCTGGAGCAGAGTCTGCGTGGTTTGATACAAAATACTCTTGTCTGGTGTTTGTGCGAGCCTGCGCAGTTCGGGTATGAAATATTCTCTTAACGAACTTTTTATGGTTTTTTAAAATTGATGGTGGGGATTACTTGATGAGGAGAGCTTCGTATGCCAATCGAACACTCACGGCAACCTAATGTGCGTCATTTCTGCGTATTCATCTTCTTTTTCATGATTCGATGTCAATTTTACTGGATAAGGCAATTTTTTGAGACATGTAGGAAAAATTTCAAGGGGAAGACTTTTACTAGGAAATTCCATTCAATTTTTGCCGGAACTTTATTGAAATTCTTTTAGAAATCACATTTGTATCTTGTCGTTTTTTCCGTTGTATTTATATTCGTTTTTCATTACGAAGTCCAAGAAGAAAATTGCGCGGAAAATCCTAATAGGAAACCAATAAAATTTATATTCATATGTGAATATTTGAGGCAGTGAATGTTAGATAATACGATTGTCAAAATATTCACGTAATAATGTAAAAAGATAACAGGTTGCATAATAGTCCTCACGCTAGGTACGGTTTTATCCCGAAAATGAGGTCCCCGTCAAAATATGATCGATACTTACTGATGGGAGGATGTAGAACACGAATATGTTGGCTATTTTTCCATCCGGTTAGACGAAGGTATTGTTATTAACAATTTAATTTCTGAAATCACCATAACTTGAAATCTATCAACGTTATCGAATAAATTTTCAAACAAAAAATATTTCTTTTATGAAAATGAACTGTGAGTTCCGTAATTTTTACTGAACATTTCTTTCCGTGGAATTAAATCAGTGTTCCAGTCATCATTCAACCGTAATTATTTCATTAACTCGTGTGATTAGACAATATTTACAGACCTAATATCTGCATTATTGAATGGCAATCATTTTTTGTCCGAATATTTTTTTTCTATCTCCACTCGTTCGAGAATTATCTATCAAAAGAATATCGGGAGTAGTCAAAATGCCAGGGGCACTGTGCACATTGAGATGCCCAGAAGATTTTACCATTCAACTCTATGTTCTCGAGGTCGCTGATTGCCAATATGACAACCGTTTTCGCAAAATCATCCGCTGTCTATTTGTTTATAACAATTTGATTGTTTAAATCACAAGATCGCGGTTGAAAATAGGGGAAAAAGGTTCAAACAAAATTTGTTTGAGTTATTAGACATTTAGGTCCATTATTAACAGTTAACGAGGTAATCACGGTTTAATTAACAACGGAATTTGAATTTGTCCCGCGATCGCTTATAAAACGTTCAATATTTCGAAAACTACTAGAAATAATTGCAGTCAATAGAATATCTGGTGTATCTTTTTGTGATGAACATCATCATTTTTATTCTAACTATTTCTTCCTCCGTGCAACCATTTCGCTGAAAAAAAAACTGGAAAAATGCGCCAAACGTTGGAATTGCATCCGCGATATCTCCGCAACTGTGATAGCTAGAAGAAAAAGTTATGAAACAATATATGCCCATTTTTAGCTAAGATACATTTTTTCTTTGAAACTTTTTCCCCTATCTTCGCCCGGTTCTGCGATCTTACGGTTTAAACAATTAAATTGTTGTAAACAATTAGCGAATGATTTTGCAAAAATAGTTATCATATTTGCAATCAGCGACCTCGAAAAAATAAAGTAAAAGGGTCAAAACTTCTGGACATCTCAATAGAGTGGAGAAAAAAAATTTGCGGATAAAAAATGTTTGTCATGCAATAATGCATATGAGCAGATCCACGCCAAATGCGAAACCCAAAAAAGTCGATGGCGGGGATTTTTTTTCCGATTTTTTTCTGAAATGCTGGGCATCAGGTAAACATTTTGAAAGAAAAAAAGTTGAAAATATTAATAATTGCGGAAGTTATGATTTTTTGGAAATTTCCGGTTTTTTTCAATAAACAATTTTTTTTTCAGATCATCAATATTTGAGACCTCATTAGAGCTATTAAATTTATTTTCAGCACACTTAAAGAACATGAAAAAACCTACAAAATGAGATGTCATTCGCTACATTCGCTGCAGATTTTCGGGATT